TCTTTCTTTCTTTCTTTCTTTCTTTCTTTCTTTCTTTCTTTCTTTCTCCCTCTCTCTCTCATCTGTTTCTCTTTCTTCCTCATCTCTCTTTCTCTTTCTCCCTCTCTCTGTTTCTCATTTCTTTCTCTCTCTCATCTACAACTGCTAAGATTGGAAGCTGTTTTTTTATAATCCTATTTCTTTGCAGTTTTTTTCACACACATTTGTGTATATGTATCCAATACTCTTTCTTCCTTTCCGCTATGTATTCAAAATGGGCAATGATTTTATGTATGTGTGTGTAGCATGTGTATATGTGTGTTATGTATGTGTATGGATATGTATATATATTTCACTTTTAATGCATGCCAGTGTACTTACAGTAAAATACAATAAAAGTTACCTTATTCTATCTCCCTTCCTTCCTTCTTTCCTTCCCAACCCCATTCCACCCCACACCCTATTTTGTGTTGACTTCCCAGCCAAGTACTTACCAGGTCTGAACCTGATTAGCTTTCTAAAATCAGCCTACTGAAATAAATACCAAATTAAACTGCCCAATGATTTCAACGCAAACAGCCAATCTGCAGTATTACTAAATTTTGCTAGGCATCTGCTGCATGTTACTCTCTTCCTTGATAATCTAGTCCAGAGGTCCCCAAACTTGGCCACTTTAAGTCTTGTGGACTTCAACTCCCAAAATTTTCCAGCCAGCAAGTTTGGGGACCCCTGATCTAGTCTTAGCTGGGCAAAACAGTCTGGAGTCACTGGCAAGAGCAGCTCAGCATGGAGAAAAGTTGTGTGTCCTCCCATATTCCTTTCTCTGTGAGCAGCCTTGTCCCCCCCATCTTCCTCATTTGTGAAGCGCACTAAGTTTAAAGGTGTTGCTTGTGGCAAGAGGAATATGGGGAGACACGCAACTTTTCTCTGTACCAAGAGGGCTGCTCTCTCTCTCTCTCCTCCACTCTTGGCACAGAAAACAGTCAGTGGGAGCAGCAGTTGAGGCGGTCGGTCACCCATCCCGGGGCTCACTCTCACCATGCCTGCAGGGGGTGGGGGATGCAGCAGCAGCGAGACGGCAATGGCAATTCTGGAGGCATCAGGGATTCCAGGACCAGTTCATCCCCCCCCCCCGCCATCCATGCGGCTGCATACTTGATGCATCGGGGCTTTCAGGCTTAGCTCCCCGCAGTCGCTGTCAGCTGTCCTGGACTCAATCAAGGGGCGCCTTGCTGACACGAGCTCTCCACGTGTTCTTTTCTGCTGCTGTTTTTGGAAGAGCAAGAGTTTCCCAAAATAACAGAAAGCTTCTGAATCTCCCCCATCAGAAACGGCTCCCGGGTAAGCAGAGAGTAGCAGGATTCAACCTGGCTTGCTTCTCTGTTTGCCTGGGAGCTGTTTCTAATGGGGAGGGGACTTGGAAGCTTTCTGCTATGCTGGGAAACTCCTATCAACAGCAGCAGGAAGGAACACATGGAGGCTCCAGCCAGGTTAGCAGTTCCTTTTATCACCTGCTGCTGTTTTGGGGAGAGCAAGAGTTTCCCAAAACAGCAGAAAGCTTCTGAATCCCCCCCATTGGAAATGGCTCCCGGGCAAGCAGAGAGTAACAGGATTCAACCTGGCTTGCTTCTCTGCTTGCATGGGAACTGTTTCTAATGGGAGTGGGACTTTGAAGCTTTCCGCTGTGCAGCAGCAGTTGAGAGAAGCAGCTGCTGACCTGGCCAGACCCTATACCAGCCTCTCCACATGTTCCTCGGCAGAAGGCAAGTGGTGAGGGAAAGGCGACCAGCAGCAGCAGCAAAAGGCAAGTGTTGGGGAAGGCGACCGGAGGCGGCAGCAAAAGGTAAGTGAGGGGAAGGCAACCGGGGCTTGCAGAGCCTCACTCACCCAGGGAGATCAGTAAAGGTAGGGCTGCAATGGAAGGCAGGCAGCAATGGCTGGCCTGGTGGGTGCACAAGAGCACGCTGCAGACAGCAGTGTTGTGCATGTGTGCAATGTCACTCATGCGTGATAAGGACTGACGGGCAGGCAGTGGAGAAGCGGGCGGAGAGGGGCGGGGCCAGCCAGAGGCCTGATTTACCGGTTCTCCAAACTTTCGGGAACGGTAACAACTGATTCTATAGAGCCGGGCCGAATCACTAGAATCCCACCCCTGGATGAATCCATGAAGTTAACTTAAATTCCTGGTTTAAGTTCATGGATGGAACTTAAACAAGGAGTCAAGCTTGCCTTGAAAGGCGCTATCTTTTCCCTTTATTCAAATACACTCAATCCTTGTTATTTCTGGGGTTTGTTCTTGAAAAATCCCACAGAAATGGAAACCACAGTTATTGAAGCATTGGTCCTATGGGAAAAATGGGATTCAGTATATTTTATTTAAAAGAGTAATCTTTCTTTATAAAACAAACCAATTTCATCCGCATTACAAACTTGCTCAAATGGGTACCCTTTGTTTCTGGTGTTTTTCAGAAGTTTTACAAATTCTTCAGCTGCTTCCATTATTTGCTAGACCAACCTCACCTGAAAGTTTCACATTTTTCAAACCATACCTGTTTTTAAAATGCTCTAACCAACTAATGCTCTCACAGATGACTTCCTGATTTTCAATCAAATATTTGAAAATTTATATAGGGTTGTTTTTATTTTGTTGTTCACAAGACATCCCTTGCAGCCAACAATTTCATTTATCCATAAATTTGGCCACTTTTCTGTTTCTTCCATATTTCTTTACAAAATCACAGAAGTCACTTTAGCACTTTCTGGAGCAGCTTTGCAAATAACCTTATGAACGTAAGTCTTCCTTTTGGCATATGGCAGATGGTTGATTCATTTACATTGAATTTTCTGTCTATGGATGCTACAGAGTTTCCAGAACAAAGCAAATCAAACACTACAATTTTATTCATTAGGTTCATTATGGAGTGTTTGCACTTGTTGAAACAGTGTCATTAGCACTTTGCTTGGATGACATTGCTGAAATTTTAAAGCATAAGAGAGTGCGAACACAAGAACTATTATCAAAATGGCACAGAGAATAAAATAAGAATATGGTTTCCTTTTGTGTAATTTTTGTCACTTGTGTCATTGCTACACAATAAGATTCCATTGTGCATGGCCGTATATAGCTGCATTAAGACCATGTTTGAAAAAAATGGGTTACACTTCCATATATAATTGAATCTACAGGAACAGATTGTATGGGGAGTGAGTGTATACAGGTAGTAATCAATTAATGGTAATTGGGACCAGAATTTGTTATTAAGCAATGTAGTTGTAAAGCACAGTATCACATGATCACATTGTTTAGCAACATCAATCTCAGGGATTCTGGTGGCTGCCATTAACCAAATCCCACCTGGTTATTAGGCACCCTGATCCAAGTAATTCCTGGCTTGCTGCCTTGGGGAGCCCTGAGTCTCGGTAGGGTAAGGAACTGCTTCCTCTCCAGCTCCTTTCACTTACTTATCTCTGCCTGCATTCTGTCACCTCTACCAAATCTGCTATCCAGCGCTCAGCCAGCCCAGCAACCTCAGCTGACCTTTGCTGTCACCTTCCTTCCACTGTTGATAAAGTGTGTCTGAAATGGCTTGTGAGGCAGCTGACTTTCAAATGTTGAGCGAGGCATACAGAGGACATCCAGCAGAGTGTAGGACGGCCCAAAAGCCAGATATGGGGGAGAAAGTAGAGGTGTCTGGGCCAGGGGAGGAAGTACAGCCAAAAATGGCTGTGGTTTATAGAGTCAGCATATCGCTCCCCAAAATCTGGGTCCTCATTTTACCCACCTCAAAAGG